ATTCTGACTTAATCTCAGAATTCTGACTTAATCTCAGAATTCTGACTTTCACCTCAGAATTTTCACTTTCACCCCAAAATTATGACTTGCTCTCTGACTTCTGACTTAATCTCAGAATTCTGACTCAATCTCAGAATTCCATCTTTCACCTCAGAATTCCAACTTTCACCTCAGAATTCTGACTTTAACCTCAGAATTCTGACTTTCACCTCAGAATTCTCACTTTTTTTCTAACTTTCTTTTTCGACAGAATTCAACGTAATCTCAGAATTCTGACTTAATCTCAGAATTCAACTTAATCTCAGAATTCAACTTAATCTCAGAATTCTGACTTTCAGCTCAGAATTCTCACTTTCACCTCAGAATTCTGGGTCCAGTAAAACATACCCAGACCATCAAACTTCCTCCTCCGTGTTTGACACTTTGAAACAATCCTTTGCTTGCTAAATGTCATACCGAGGATCCTGCCTGAAGAACCAATATATCACATTTTCATTTATCAGGCTGTAATGCTTTCTGCCAGGCTTCAGACATCCAAAGGCAGTGATTTGTGCCTGGGGCAAGCCTTTTTGTCTTATTCTGGGATCTTAGCTGCAATTCATCCTGTCAAACCTGCTGCTCAAAGTCTTCTCTTCACAGTTTGAATTGAGGATTGATGTTTAGGATGACTGTTAAGCTGTGCTTGATGCGGTTGTCCTGTTTGCTGCCGATCCTGAGAGCAAACTTGATCAGACTCAGTCAGAAACTCCCAACAATTCAGATGTGGCTTTGGGTCTGCCAGACCTCTTCCTGTGAAGAGTTTCCTCGAGTTTCTGTGTAGCTGTTTATGAGGAAAAAATAGTCCTCACTAGAACCTTGGCTCTTCTTTGTCTTTCTCAATCGGAAAGGCCTGTAGAGATAATTTAAATTTTTTTCAACATTTTTGTACACACCACTTTTTGCAATAAAATAAGACCCAACTTCTGGCTTGGTACAGCAGTTTGTTCACTTCTGCGGTCAAAGAGACAAACTCTATAGCAGCTGGCTGCCATCAGAGTCACTTTAACTCTTCCAGTACTGCTTTATGTCACAGACGGTGTTGTTTGTAATACAGGATTTACTGACATAAGCTTTTAGTGCATGATCAACCCTCATTGGAGCAGAACACTTTTACATTTTTAACCCAGTTTGTATTTCCTCATAAAGGTTGTTTTTTTTTTGTCTGAAATTAACATATTTATTCCAATTTTTGGGTTCCCTCATCTGTTTTAAAGTTCAACACAATTTCAAGCTTTTATTTGAACAATTGTGATGTTAACAGGAAAATAGGAATGTTCTAAAACTTTTGAGTGTTAGAGTATATTTTTGAAAGTTTTTATAAAAATTTAAACTGGCCTGTAGAGAAAAGAGTAAGATCCACGATATATCAGAAAAAAACATTCATACCATTAGGGATTTGGAAAGTGAAGAATAGTAAATGAAAAACTTTTCAGAGATTGTAAGTTATCTCTTACATGATTGTATACTTGAAGCATTTGACAGTATTCTATCCAGTTTGGTGGCTGAACTGCCGCTCAGTATGGTGGTACCACCACCACCATGCTGTTGCAATTAGATTCCAGTTGTTAATGTTGCTTGTTCTCTGATTTATTGGTTCAAATTTTTTTCTTGCAGGGCTGAAATGAGGAAGACCTGTTGATGTTGAAGCTATTGTGACTGCTGTCAAGCCCTCCTCTGTCTGAAGGACGCAGCCATGAGTTCCCACCAGATGGAGAAACAACCAAGTGACCGCAAGGGTTCACCCACTGTTGCCAGGCAGCTTTCAGGAACTGGGCCTGATGGTGTCACAGAAGAGCTTCAACCAGACCCAGTCAATGAAGCTGGAAAGTCTCCAAAAGCAGGAAAATTCAGGACTGCCTTGACGTTTTTTAGCGTTCGTAAAGGTATCTGCATTTTACCAAGTTTCTTTGGAGGGAGGAATAAGAATCAGAACAAGTGGTCCAGCAAGAGAGGAATTGGAAAAAGCAGAACACATGATGGGCTAAGTAAGGTCAGCGATGATGGTGCTTTAGGCAGTGGCTATGTCTCCACTGGAGACCTTCAGTATCACAGGGGTGCAAGTGGAGATTTCCCCAGTGGCTGTCAAGGTGAATGTAGTCACCCAACCCCAGACCAGAAATCTCTGACCCTCGGTCGGCAGAGAAAAAGTTTTAGGAGTCTATTTCAAAGTTTTAGGCATCACAGAAGCCTGAGAAATAATTGTACAAGTGACACTAACGTGTCTCCTCAATGCCAGAAAGAGGTGCCTGTTCAACACGACCCACGCTGCAGTGCCACAGAGTGCCTGGAATCTGAGCCTGACGTGCCTGAGTCTGTAGAGGATCTGCGCGACATTTCCATGGGTCTTGAATGTAGTCGTGTTGATTCAAAAGCCCCTGAGAGCGGAGTGGAGAAAGAAAGCCCAAAGTCTGAGCCTCTGCTGTGCGACGACAAACATGAGGACAGTCAATTTAAAGTGGTAACTTCTGGTGTTTATGACAACACCTCTAGAAGGTCCAGTGAGCCTTGTCTGAAACTTCAGACGGGGTCTGAAACGCCCACTGGCTCGTCAGACCAGCTGAACCTGATGTTTGGGGAGGTTTCATCGTTAAAGAGCTTCGATTCCCTCACGGGTTGTGGGGACATCATTGCAGATCAGGAGGACGACAGCATCACAGAGAGCACCGTTTCTGGAGAGAGGAGCAGAAATGGAGGGAAGAGGGCCTCTTGTTATCTCACCTATCAGGGCGGTGGTGAAGAGATGGCCTCCCCTGAAGATCTGGATGCAACCTGTCTTCAAGAAATCTGGGGAAGCAGCACCTCAGAGGCAGTCCACTGTGGCTGTGATCCGGATCAGACCCAAACCGAGCTGACAAGTTCACACAATGTGGATGTGCTGAACAGCAGCAGCAGCACACAGCATCCCGGCGCTATGGACACGTCATCCATCGCTGACGTTTTAACTCCCCAAAGCGAGCATCAGGAATCAGGACCCAATAGCGACGAAGGCTATTATGATTCAACAACGCCAGGGCCAGACGAAGGGCAAGAAAAAAGATCAGGGAGATTACCCAGAGACAGCTACAGCGGGGATGCCCTTTATGAACTGTTTGCTCCAGATGAGAGTCTCATAAGCCCTCATTATGAAAGCAAATCCCAAATTCCTAGTTTAAAACACGGCGAGTATTTAGCAGAGCCCATCGACGGAACAGATTCTGTCTTTGTCCCAGAAATGAGTCACTTAGGGATTAATGCTGATCTGTACAAAGAGGATTTTCGAGAAGTGTCTAGTCCATTCAGTAAAAATCAGGATATCAGAGGAAACGAAAACTGTAATTTGAAATCAAAAACACAAACATCAGTCAACATGAACAGTCATAAAGCGGGGGTTTTTGATGAAAAAGGCAACACGCACGCTTCTGCTGGCAAAATAACAAAACCCATCAATGCAGAGTGTGAGAAAAGAAGCAGCAGTTTATCGTTTGGAAGCACGTCAGACCCGGACTTTGAGACCTTCTGTGAACCCAAAGAAGACCATCTTGAAGAGAACAAACCTGTGGCGTTACCGTACAAAAATATCAGCTCTCAGGCTGAAGAATCTAGCAGCTACATGGAGGATGGGCAGACTGTGTGTTTCTCACAAGCACTTGTGGATTACACGAAACGCACCCAGATGCTCGGCAAGCTGAGCGGCGAAGTGGACGACTTGGAAAGGAGCGCCACTTTCACCCCAAACATGGATGCCTTACCGACTATAGTCACGTTTGACGTTGTAGACCTGCACAACGAGGGGGAATACGACGAGCAGATCCACATGGAGCTGGAGGAGGACGGGTCGTCATCTTATCAGGAGTTCAACGAAAGCTACCTACAAAAGGATGCATATGCTGAATGTGATTATCAAATGTTCGACCTGTATGAGCGGAGTGTGATCAGTAACAACTGGGCTGTTGCTAGTCTGCCACGGCATTTGAGTGCTCCCCGGGTGAACGCGTCCGTGTCCAATTCCCTGTCTCTGGACAGGAGGAGCAGGTCTCTGGATACAGATAACCTTGAGTCGAATACACCTGAAACATACAGAGAGAACAGGCCGGCCATGGCTTCTGAGCAGGACTCTGAGCGCAGCTGTTCACCGTATTATAGAAAGAATGTAGTCCTGTCCACTCCAGAGGTCAGAGACGGTAACAACATGACCTCGTCATGGCAGACCAGGTCAGAAGTGACTGCCCCAGATGGAAAAATCACTGAAAACGTCCAGAGTCTCAGTCGAACCCAAGTTAATCACAAGCAACCGCAGTATTTTTGCTCGATGTCAGATGGGCTGAGCTGCGATTTAGTCTCTGAGAATAAAGAATGCTACAGTAGGCAGCGTCATCCACCTTTGAGGTCAGATTCTTGTCTTCCTCATAGCACCTTTGGAACGAAGGAGGAGGATGTTTGCCAGAGAATGGTAGAGGCAGAACCCTAAGAGCTAGACGTCTAGTAAACCCCTGTTTAAGGTCATCCTTAACAAAGAAAAGACACAAAAATCACCTGCGATGGAGTGTAAATCATATATTTCTGCCATAGAGTGCATTTACAGGGTACTGGTCATTTTACCATTTTGCCTGTTTGTGAATGCCTTAGACTTGGTGCTGGAGCTGTCTGCTGTGGTGTGTTTTGCTCCAGACGTGTCAATTCAAGTCAAAGTAGTTTTCACAGTTATGTTGGTCTGTTTGAATCTGTCAACTACTAGGGAATTAGTTTTATACCGTTTATTTTTTGGACTAGCTGATTTTTTTTTTTCTGCAATAAGCCATCTTATATCCCAAATTTTGGTTGACTGTATTTTAGAGAACTGCTGTTATATCGTAAAACATCTCCTAAACACAGAGCTCTATAGTTTATTTGTCCTTGTATTTTTAAGGGCTGCAAATCAAATGGATTTAAGTTTCTGTAAAACATGCATTTTTTTTTTATCCTAACATGTCTTCACAACCAAAAATGAAGAGAAATTAGGTGTATTGGAGATTCTCTTAAAATAGGAACTCATTAATCTGACCTTGCAAAGCAGCAAACTGACTCAAAGCAGCTTTTTGTCTTCATCCAAAGGATATCTGTTTTTGAATTTTGAATTTTTCTTTTTTTTTTTTTTATCATCCTGCTATGTTGGATAAGAGGAGTCAGACTTTAAAAGCAATCCAGATGTGTGCAATAAGAAAAACGTGCTGCATCAAATACTTGGTGAATGCTTGGGAGTCAGAGTTTATTTTTTTTCCTTTGGGCATTTGCACTGTACCTGATATGTTTGCACATAGCTTCCATAGCTCTTGGCTCAAAGGGTTTGAGGAGAAGATAATTAAAATGGCAATACTGCCGTTTCATGAGGCTGTTGAATTTAACTGGAATGTTGCACATTCGGACCTAAACACTAATGCCACACTCTGTTCTGCATTATCGCCGTTCATCAGCCTTGCAGCAGCCTTGCAGCAGCTGGCGACTTACTTTTCTCACTGTTCCCTTTAAACAATTAATCCTTTTCTTTTAAAAGCCTGATCTTGTTCATGTTTGCAATTTGTTACTTTCACTCTTCACAGTAGGGAGCTCTGTCTCTAGTTTTAGTTGCATATCAGCTCGTTTTTAAGGAAGAAAACGGCACCGTATCAATTTAAAAAGATAAATATCTCAAGACTTTAATTTATTTTTTAGATTTAAAATGTATTTACTTGGTCACAGAAATGCCTGTCAGCTTATTTGTTTCTGTAATCCCAAGCAGTATAAGCTAATATAGGGCATGTACAGATGGACCGGTTGTGCTAATGTAAGGTAGTCGTGATGTTTTTACTTCAGCTGTCACAATTCATTTACCTAAAGGAGCTTTGCAAGGCAAAGCAACCATATTTGTTTACCTCCTTTCACATGCAAATAGAGAAAAGCGAAATATTGTTTACATAAAAACCTACTTGGAGGCAATTAAAAAGAAGAATCTGTTTGCTACAGATTTGAAAAGAGCATAAACCTTTAGCTGTATCTTTTCTTGTTCGCTTTATTTGAATAAAAGGCTAGCTATAATGAAGCACTCGGTTGTTGAGTTGCTCTTTAACTCTGAATCCACAGGTTTGAGGGTTTTTGTTTGGAACTGATGTCACATTTTAAGGATGGCTGTTTTTGTTTTGACTTTTTTCTCATGTAGAACACGATGTATTTATATTTTTAATTGTAGACTGTAATATGTATAGAACTGTTACAAATTGTCAATGCTGTATTTTGATTTTTCCCTTTTTTCCCTTTTCTTTTTATTGAGTTGTATTGGCTCACTGAAAATCTGTTACAGTTTTGTCCAAATAGAAAACTGCCTTACCTGAGAATTAAAGTGATAACGTGTTTATTTTCTTTTGGCTTTATTTTTCTTTTGTTTCACTTCTTTTAGTAACTGGCTCCACCGTGACATTAAATAGCCTGCTTACCAAGTCTGTGGTTGAAAGTACGCCTAGACGTTAAATCGGTTATCAGGCTCCCCGCATGGGCTAGCATGTTTACACCACCACTTATGAGAAGTTTACAGTTTCAGGTTCAAATGTTAAACAGTTCTTTGCACATCAACAGCTTCCTGTGCTTTAAATGTGGCTTTCTGTTGGATATCGCCCGGTATTAGACCCACACAAGCTAACGGTTAGCTGAAACCACTGATTAATGTCTTTTTCAGATTATTCCTGCTTTAAACAGTTGCCATAACAAGAATGATGCTCAGAGGTCCTGAAATTTCCAGGCAAAAGATGCTGAGATTATTTTTTTTTTGCATAAATATTTTCAAATGTATTTGCTTCTAAACAAGGGGAAGGTGTAGCAACTTTTCAGCCAGCTGACCAGCAGTGCACAGCAATCTGGGGAAGAGGCAGGGGCTCTATAAAGTTTTTATCAGTTTTTTTATCTCTTGAAAGAAGAGAACTGCTGATCATCAGATATTCTCATTTCCAGCATAAACTACCTTTGCTATTGAATAATTACATGAAAATTAAAACATAAACTATCTTTTAGTTTGTTTTTAAAGTGGAAAAACCACAAAACAACCTTTCTGTAATATGTGGCTTATCTGTTTCAACAACACCGATTTTTCTCACATACCAAAATGTTTACAAATGTTGCATTTTTTTTAATTAACCTTCCTTCAGATAGTGGAGCTGCAGCAACAGGTAAGGGCGGGGAAATGCTGCAGCTCCATTTGTGGTACAATTTTGGGAAACGTAGCTCTTGTTTCAGCAGTTAATTTTGCTGACTTATGTCTCTAACTGTAACTTTTAAATCAGGAGGGCCAAAACACAACATAAAATACACAAATATGAACGTCCCATAAAATAAAATGTATCACGAAGTAAATAGATTTGACTTTTTTTTTACATTAAGTTTTCTCTAATACTGATTCAACTATTAAATATACCATTTAATTGTACAGTGCACAATTAAATAATTAAATATCCGATCAAATAATTAAAAATACTTATTAAAACAAAGAATTTAATCATTTAAAATCATTTGAAAATGATAACTTTTCTTTATATGTATTAAACAATATATATATATATATATATATATATATCTTTTAATCTCAGAATTGTTCTCTGAAAAAAAAGTCAGAATTCTGAGATTAAATCCCAGAATTCTGACTTTTTTCTCAGAATTCTGACTTTAATCCCAGAATTTTGGATCTTGATGTAGATGGGCACCATGAAGGAAGAGATGTGGGAGCACTCAGCTTCACAGACAAAGATGTGAGTTGTTTGGGAGGGCCAGTAACACATTTGTGGAAAATTACGGAATTAGGCGACTTTTTACATGCCAGAGGGGTCCCTGGTGATGCTACTTCTTTAATGGAAGAGCAGAAGGTCATTAAACCTAGAGAGCTGGTTTAGTCTCTAAAACAGACATAGCTATGGCTTGATGCTAACATGTTTGTTATCTTTCAGAATTCAGTCAGAATTCCGAGATTAAAGTCAGAATTTTTTTCTCATACTGAAATAAAATTTAAAAATCAGTTAACTTTTTATTTTTTCAGTGGCTCTTCCGTAAATATGAGTGAAGTAATTCTATGTATTTTGTAACCCTAACTCTATGTAGTTTATTTTGCACGGTTTTCATTTAATTACCTAGCCTGACGTAGTCCGACTCAATTCTAGTCAGAATATGAGTCTGATACTGCTCCATAGAGCTGTGATTATGGGGCGTGTTTCGAACGAACCAGGAAAAAAAATGCCTCTGCACCCAATTGGATAGATCTACAACCAATAAGAGCAACGGAGTGCGTGACGTATGTTAAGCGAGGCATAGTTGTTGTCCACAAAAATCAAAGCGTGCAGTTGCACGCCTATAACAAGAAGATGAGCCTTGATCGCGTTTCTCTGTTCCTCTTTTAAAATAAATTTGCTGTCGATATCTTCTAGAACAGACCTAATAGCAGAATCTACCCACCGAAACTCTCCAGCGGCAGCCATTATTGTTGTCACCCAAGCGCGCTTTGGTCACGTGGTTGATTACGTTACTCTTGATCATCTGTCCATCATCGTATAAAGCCCGCCCTGACAATTTGATTGGATCGCCTGACAGTGGGCGATAATACTCGCGCTACTATGGAGCAGAGCCAGACCGAACTTCCCCGAACTCAAACGTTGTGGGCGGGACTAAGTTCGGACTGGCACCCAGGCTATTAATTACCTACTACGGAAGAGGATTAAGGCCAAATTTAAAAAGTTAACTGATTTTTTTATTTTATCCGAATGTAATATTCGAAAAAAAGTCAGAATTCTGACTTTAATCTCATAGTATGAGTTTTTTTTTTCTGAGAATTCTGACTTTAATCTCAGATGTCTGACTTTATTTCTCTGAATTGTAAATTTTCTCTCAGAATTCTGACTTTTTTCCTCACAATTCCGACTTTAATCTCACAATTCTGACTTTTTTTCCTCAGAATTCTGACTTTAATCTCAGCATTTTGACTTTAATCTCACATTCTGACTTTAATCTCACATTCTGACTTTAATCTCAGAATTCCAACTTTTTTCTCAGAATTCTTACTTTTCCCCTATATTGAACTGAAATAATATTTGAAAATCAGTTCACTTTTTTTTCAGTGGCCCTAACCTTCTTCCGTAGCCTCAAATAATAATAATAATAAATAAATAAGTAAAATAAAAAACCTGCCCCCCTGGTAAATGTGTTCCAGAACCGCCACTGCTAAGTGCGTTGAAAAGGCTGTGATTTTTAACGCAGCTTTTATTTAGAAAAGGCAGCATTTTTCAGCTAATAAGTTTGTCGGTTGGGTAAACTGTGGTTTACAGGCAGAAAGGACCGAGCATCTTATTTGAGCTGCCGGAGAAAGAAAGCAAAGTTAGAGAAACTGTTTTCATCCCACAGCTTATCTGGCAACCCGGGGCTGACTGCGACAGCAGCGCCAATGGCAGCACAACACAACCGTTAGGAGGATGACAGCAACAAGGTGAGAGGAGGAGGAGGAGGATGATGAGCGCCGTCTGAAGCTAACCATGGCAGCGAGGTATGTACGCAGTGTGCAGAGAGTCGTGATGTGTTGTTGTTGCCTGAATTATTCAATGACCGTCAACTTTATTTCAAGTTACTGCTAGTAAAACGGCCAGATTATTAGCAGATGCTCAGCAGCTGATGCTAACCAGCGTTAGCATCGAAGGTAGCCTGTGATTTCCACTTAGTTGGCTAATAGAGGGGGGGCGGGGGGGTTAGCTAGGCGGCGATACCGTTTACTTCAAGTATGAGGGAGGGGGGGGTTTGTTGCCTGACAAGCTGTAGCAGCACAAAAGTAACAAATGTTGACCTTTTTCCCTTAGAATTAGCTGCTATAAAGCCCATAAATATGCAGAGCAGAAACCGTTATCCTAGCTCTATAATATCAGAATGTGAGAGTAGCTTCGGTTGCTAAATGTAACTCAGGCCTGCGGCTGTCACAGCAGATACTCTGGGATTGGTAAAGGCTTCTGCACTGAAGTCAAGACAGCTGTGTGAGAAAATACTTAAATATAATTTATTATGTGGTGTCATGTTTCCGGTTTCTGTTCCTCTGTTTATATTTTCTACACTCTAGATGCTGTTTTTTTATGCTGTCGTGTCAACTTGTTGGATGATTCTGTGCAGCAAATATCTATAAAACACTCCAGTCAGTGGGTTCACTGAGGGTTTGTTTATATATTTATTAATTAAAGGGAAGCATTATATATATGTTATTAAAAATTATGGTTTCCATTTTTTTAAATATATATTTAGTAGTTTATTAGTGGGTTAACTTTAGATTATCTGCTTTTTCCCCCCTGAAAGCCTCTAAACACCCATCAAACACATCAGACAACAGTATGTTTTCTGATCAGAGATCAGATCGAGGTTGGAAACATATGCTGAGATGTATTAAAGCTGATAATTTTATTGGTTTCATTTTTGTTAGATTCAGTTTTCCAAAAAATAAAAATAAAAATCTGTTCACTTTGGATCACAGAGCATATCGAGGAACAGCGGCAAACAGTTTGGGGGAGTGTAAGGTTTCATTATGATTTCTGCTTTGTTATGGTGCCGTAAGGGCGACCCAGTGCTGCAAAGTTCTGCTTTGGTGTAGAAAGCCATTATAAGATGCCCCTGGTGAATGTGACGTTAGGAAATTTGGCGCCTCCTTTTAATTTAGCAAATGAATTTGAGTGATGGGTATCTTCTTATAAAGTAAAGTATTGAAGCACATATAAACTTTACGCTTTGCAAAGTCAGCTGTTTTCCTTTTGTCTATGTGCTCTTTTGACTTTTTAGCAGCTATTTTGATTGCTGTATCTGTGAAAAAGCGCAGTCTGATCCATTGTGCGAAGTTGGGCAATGATTGCTGTTCAACCTGATAAAGCAGCAGAAATCTCACTGGTCCAATGTGTCACATGGTGGAAGAACAGTACCACCGTCTGATCAAAACCATTTTTTTTTCTCTTCTTTTGAAGAATAGGAATGGAAAAGATCCCCAGTTATGAACTTTATTTGAAATATTGTTATAGTTTTTTTGCGTTTGCTGGAAAAGTAGTAGTCAATGTTATGCTGTGTGTTTTAATGAAAGCAGTCTAAGTAGACATTTCTGGATCCTCTAGCCAGGGATAAACAACAGGTAAGCAATGGCAGGTGGATTTTCTTAGAAGTATGTATAAAAAAAAAAAGAACTGCAAAGATTGAACTTTATGTTTTGTTTTTTAAAAGAAGAAACAATAAAGTAATCAGATAAACTTCTAATGTCAGCTGTTTTGTGACTTTTCTCACTTCTGTGTACACCCTCCATTTTATTCTGCTCTGACAAAGGGGTTTTCTCAGAAGGGATAGTTGCATTTCTGCATAAACCGGCAAAGAACTGAAATTGAAAGTCATCAGGATAAAAACACGGGGTGTCTCTTATTATTTCAGCTATCGTTTATCTGAAAGCAAGTTTTCAAAATTTCTAAGTTACAGTTTCGCAATTTGTTTGTAAATAGAAAAAGCGAGAGAGGGAGTTAATCCACTCTGTTCGAGTACAACAGATAACGTCCTCGTTGTCCTGCTTCAACTTGTTGCTATGAAACATGAAATGATGCATGTGCAGAGACGGCCCAGAGGCCTTGCTGAGACGAAGCCTGCGAATCTGGAGGTGGAAGGGAGAGGAATTCGACAGAGCTCTGCTGCTTTGGACATGTGTCGAAAAACGCTCACAAAATGACTCAAACGACAGTAGGCAGTGTGAGCTGTTCTCTGCCACCAACTCTCCCGAGTTCCACAGCAGAGAGGCTCAGTGCGCCTTGCTTTCAGCTTCCTGTTTAGCTATTCAGACCACAGCCTCGTCCTTCACGCTTGTCATAAAAGTTGCAGTCAGGTGGCCTAAGCCCGCCCAAACACAAAGACGCATTAATTCAGCTGCTGACTGACCGCACACCCCCACCCCAACAGTGTTAATGTGTTATTTCTATGAGTGGAGGACATTGTGTTGGCACAGGATCCAACAGGCAGTCAAAAAACACTATTTCTTGCTGGATCAGCATGATCAGCTAACTTCATTGTAACAGAAAATGTTCAGTCTTTAAAGGCTGTATAAAGAGACACGATGAGACGTGTTTGTGTTAGTCGTGACTGGTAAAAGGAGTTAGCTGATGACAAGGCTGTGTTGCTAAGCAACGCACATCATGGGCTGCGCCTCTCGAAGCTTGAAGCTCTCCGTAGTCTCTGCAAGACTAGAGGAAAGTGTGTTCTAGCGTGTCTTATCGTTAAAGCACTTCCCATAAACATTGATTGCCGGTATGTGCGGCAGTGTTTGTTTCTCAGCAGAACAACAGTGTTGCGTGCGCTACACTGTAGGCTCCTCTGCAGAGCCGCACCGCTTTACCCTTAAAAACAGCCCGCGCTCCCTGTGGGATTCTGCTCAGTTGCGATTGTCTGTCGGAGGGCTGCAGGCGCAGGGATACGCTGCTCAGCCCACACGTTTTCAGGTTATTCTAACTCGTGCACTCACTTCATGTGTGACTGGCTCAAGCATTGCTTGTGAGGCCAGTAAGGCTCTTCTGCTCATGGAGAGCAGGTTTGCTCTGCAGTGCATCGGCACATTTTGTACTAGACTGTGTTGTTTTTTTCTCTTTCTTTTTAGAAAAGCAGTCAGTTGAAGAGGCAGTAAAACTTTTCTCTATATTGGTGGTATTTTCTCTTTAAAATGTATACATCTTTCTGGGTATTTTGTTGCTATTTATGCTCAATGTCTTTGCATAAACATTATAAATACAGCTTTGACTTAAAGGGGAATTAGAATTAAGTAAAAAAAAAAAAAAAGCTGATTTGTTTAAAAAAACAAAACTGTCTTGATGATAAATTGGTATTTCCAGGTTAGCTCCATATCCCAAATTTTGACCTTTGGGTTTTTCCTCCTTTGCAGGATCACCTAGTTCATTTATATGCTGAAACGGGGGGGTTGACCATCCATTTTGACCTACGTAAAGAAAGTCCCGACATCGAGTATGATTCCGTGGCTGCGGTGAGGAAGCATGGTGCAGGAAGCTGAGGCGTCAGCGCGGCCGTGATGACAGCATGGTCCATGGTGGAGAAGCTCAAAATGGAAAAACGCCCATGCAGGGAGCAGAACATTGACTCAAGAGAGGCCCAGCATGCCACAGACGAGTCTGAGGAAGGAAGCAGCTCCGAAAGCGAATCGGAAGAGCAGTGGCAACACCAGCAGCAGCCCTATAGGGCCCAGTTGGGCAACAACAGCAACAGCTGCAGGAGGAGAGAGCCTCTGGCCCTCACCAAGCCTCACCGCCAGCTATGCCGCTCCCCATGCCTCGACCGACCAAGCTTTTCCCAAAGCAGCACCCTGCAAGACGTCCGCGATGACGACTCCGGCGCCCTGCATGGGACCAAAGCCACCAGCGAAAAGGAGTACCAAACCAAGATGGAGTTTGCTCTGAAGCTGGGCTATTCTGGAGATCAGGTGGAAACGGTGCTCAATAAGCTGGGGGCGGCGGCACTCATTAATGACGTTCTTGCAGAGTTAGTTCGCCTCGGGAATAAAGCAGAGCACGAAGCTCAACCCAGCAGCAGCACAGCTACACCCATATCACGGTCCCCCTGTGTTAAAGAGACTGTTAGCCCTGAAGCTTCGGTTGAGGAAGAATCTGTGGATGTGTATGATAACCTCAGGCCTATCGTCATCGATGGGTCGAACGTGGCAATGAGGTAAAGACTCACACACAATTAAGAGATCTGCTCATTGTTTATTTGTTTCCCTATAGATTAAAGGCTTATTTTGTGCTTCCCTCTTTTTCTAGCCACGGGAACAAAGAGGTTTTCTCTTGTCGCGGTATCCAGCTTGCAGTCGAATGGTTTCGGGAGAAAGGACACAAAGACATCACTGTGTTTGTCCCCGCATGGAGAAAGGAGCAGTCGAGGCCGGACGCCCTCATTACAGGTATAGAAAGTTTCTGCAGGCAGCCGCTGACCTTTCACATTAAGGCTGTTTGATTAGCAAGTAAAAACAAGCGTCCATTAAACTTCGCTCTTTGTAGCATTGTAACCACAAAGCTGCCAAGACAAAAAGTACATAATTATGAATTGGAAAGAGAGCGATACATGGTTCTCTAAAATTTAAAGGCCGGAGCGAGGATGCGCTCATGTCAATTAAAAATGTTGGATTATAAAATTTGTAAAATAACATTCATTTGTTTTAAGTGTGGTTTTCTTTTTTTTTCCGGACTTGTTTTTTTAATTGAAAAACAGTTGCAGGCCAATAGTTTTTAATCCTTAAAAATATATATATATATATATTGCACAAGCCGCAGGCACTGACCCCAGCACATAATAGTGCATTATACGCCATTATCTCATTTGCAATAAGAAGTGACCTTTTTTTAATGTAGTCTAGTAAAATTAATTGATAATTAAATAGGAAATATGGGGCAACATGAGTGGATCCAGGGGTTACGTTCACAGCTGGGAAACATTGAGATAATTTGACAGCCAGTTAAATAAGACGATACACATGTATCGGTCACATTGTCCTAGTGCCCTGGCATAATTACATGAAACAACAAGGAAAATTTGAGCGAGCGTGGAGCAATTTCGCAGGAGCGGCAGGAAAATTAAGGTGAACGCTGAGCGGATTTTGAGCGAAGCTTCCTGGTGCAACTTTGAGCAGTGGAGCGAATGAGCGAACGTCCTCCTGAGCGGGGAGTGAGAATGTGAACCGCTCTGTTCACATGCTCTGATTTCCACTGAGTCAATACTTTGCAGAAACTCCCTTTGGTGTGGTTAGTTTTCAGGTTTGCCTGGATTGGATTTGCTCATCTAGACACACCATATTTTGCTTGATTGTTCTTTACAAATCTGCTCAAGCATAAGAGTATTTTGGATGATTCAATTTAATATCAGGTCTTGCCCTAGATACACATTTGTATTATGGGGTAAAATTTAACTAGCCCTTTCTGAGACGTGAACATGCTTTCATCTACATTGTGCAAGGTTTTCAACTCCTGCACCTTTGAGATGCGTCTCTGCTTCCACACACTTTAATCAAATGGCTAACTTTGCTCCTCAGTAGGGTTGTCAAAAGTATCGATACTCAAAAAAGTATCGATACTGAAAAGTTGTATCCGGATACAATACTCATTTTCAAAAGTATCGATACAGTGCCACCACCAGTGGCACCTAAGCAGCCATTCGTCTTATGCGCAGATTAGAGGAAAATGCACTTTCTAAACACTGTGTGATTGAATAATTCTGTGCAGTTTCAGACTTTTTTCTGTAACAGGTGCAGCTGCTGAGAATTATTTTTGTTTTTTAACTGGTTTGGCTAGTGTCATTGTTATGTGTGTAAAGCATAGCCAAGGAATGAACACTTAATTTTAATTTTGTAAGTTTTTTATCAAGCTTGCTTAATATTGTGCACAGCAAACAACCTCAAAATATTGTTTATTGTATTTATTTATCTATTTATTGTATTTTGTTTATTAATGAAAAAAAGTCTGTTGAATTTTGGACTCTTTGTTTTTATTCTTGTGGTATCGAAAATGACATCGAGTATCGAATATTTTACTTAGTATCGGTATCGAGTTGAAAAGATTAGTATCGTGACAACCCTACTCCTCAGTATGGAATCAAGTTATCTATAGCCTTATTAATCACCTTATTATTCAACTTGGGTGTGCTGAAGCAGAGACTCGTCTAAAAAGCTGCAAGAAAACCTTAATCATAGTTCTGGCTACATCTTTTGGCATCACCTCCTCCTTAAATGTTTGGAATGACCTTTATTAAGCTCCATAATTTTCCTGCTACTTCTTAATGTTTTCTCTGTGCATGCTCCACAGCATAATATATTCACCGCCGTGTTTCCCCAGGGCTGAAGATGTACTTATGTCGATGATCAGAATCGTTTTTTTTTTCTCCACTCATAGTATTTTTCATATAAGCCAAAAAGTATTCTAGCTTGTTGCAAACAGGAGATATAATTTCCTCTGGCTTCTTCACTCTTTTCTAATCAGCAGGCCGATGTTGGTAGGTGTCCAGTTTAGTCGCATATTATTATCCATTTCAGATGAGTCAGTGTCGCTGCTCAACATTTTGTTGAAACCTTGAGATGGTGTTTTATAACCTAACAGAGCTTTAAAACTCTCCGTTTTCTCCCTGATGTGCCTGCTGTGTTTGCTCATTAATGTTCACCAACAGACCTGTAGGGTTTTCACTGAACAGCTGGATTTATAGGGAGATTACGTGACTTGCAAATGGACTGTTTACCAATTAAGGGATTTCTGGCAGCAGTCGGTTGTTTGGGAATTTATTAGGGGGTATAAAATTAAAGTGGCTGGATAAAATCTGTGCCACATTTTTTTATTCTTCAGAAAAATCAAAGCCAGGTATAGTTTTCCTTTCATCATCACATAAAATCCCAGTAAATAACACTGAAATTTGAGTTTACTATCTATGTTTATGCAATTAGATACTTGTGCAGTGACTTTGTTTTTGTTTTAGAATGAGTTTTCTTTTTGTTTATTTTCTTCAATTTATTTCTTTTTCAGATCAAGAAATTTTGCGCAAGTTGGAGAAAGAGAAAATCCTGGTTTTCACCCCGTCTCGAAGAGTTCAGGGCCGGAGAGTGGTGTGCTATGACGATCGCTTCATAGTGAAGCTGGCTTATGATTCTGATGGAATTATTGTGTCAAATGACAACTACAGAGACTTGCAGAACGAGAAGCCGGAGTGGAAAAAATTTATAGAGGAGCGCCTCCTGATGTATTCATTTGTCAATGACAAGTAAGGAAGCATGGTGCTCTTTTATATCGAAGCCACTATAGGCTTGTTGTGGTCTTTATGAAAATATATATTTCATTTGTAATATGTTTGCTATTATAAAAACTATATCATTTAAAGCTACTCAATATGTTCAAAAAGTCCTTACATTTGACATATTTCTTCTGTTTTTCTTTGTTGATACACTTCAGACATGGATTACCTGAGTAAACAATGATTTCCTTTATTAGGGTAGACATTTATCTAAATCAGCCTGGTCTAATGCAAGAAAAAATCAGTTTCCCTTTCTACATGTTTAAGGTTATTAATCCCACCAGGCCTGCTAATTGGCATACTTCTACCTGTTAAAAATGAATAACTATAACAGATGAAACTAAAGCCGTTACTAGCTATCATAGCACAATGTTTTGTCTCGCTTGTGCCCAGTCTCTGTTCTAGTGGTCATTTACCATGGGAGGGTAGTTTCATAAAAGAAATCCTGAAAAAAGCCCTGCATTTAGTTTATTAAAGGAGTCATAAAGCAGATGTTTCAGACTCTTCATCTAACAGATGATTACTGTGATTTTATGTTAATACGACTGAAGCTTAAAGCTGACTGTAATTTCTAAATAATTAAGTACATTGTTATGATGAAATATTTAACTGGTACTAAGGACCAATCAGTTAGTCTCGTCTTTTAAAGCATATCATCATAAATTCGCTTAGTATTAGACTGCCAAAACTGAACTAAGAAAGTAAAAATGACTTGATCAATATTTTTGTCCTTGAAGATAAAATAATCACATATTAACCAATTGTAATAAGCTGATAAATTAGTTAATTCTTATTTTAAACATGTATTATCTTAAGCATTGGTAAAATTACCTAACTGCCTTTTCAAATATAGGGGAAATACACTTGAGTTTTTACGGCACCAGTGGCTCGTTTTTTCGGACAGTAGGCTGACAGGAAAGGGGGTATGAGAGAGGGGGAGAGACATGCAGCAAAGGACGACAGGTCAGATTCGAACCCGGGTCGGCCACATCGAGGACTAAGGCCTCCGTAGATGGGTCATGCGCACAAACCGCTGCCCCACCTGCACGCCCAAGAAAAAAAAAACTCATATTTCATTTTCTTTAGTGTCAGCTTTTAGTATAGGGGAAATATCAGGTATGCATCTTGTTGCAGAGCATTGGACAGTTTGTTGCAGATGGAACCATGATTCCGCCTCTCTAGAAGGACTGATGGAGAATGTGCAGCCACCTGTTTATGACCTAAATCTGAGCTGTGCGGCAGGTCTGATGCACAAAGCACAACATTAAGCCCATTCTCAATTAATTGGCTGCAAAAATAAATAAATAAGAATCCCTCAAATGTTGTTAAATTACTTCACAGCTATTTGGCAAGTATTGTAATGATTTAAAGGCACTTACTGGTTGGCACAGGAGCTATAACCTTTTTTACGTAGGAACAGGTTAGTCATTAAAATCATTTTGATATATATGTAAATATGACAGCAAACCTAAGCTTGTAGTGAGGGAAAAACTTTGACCCACCATGTACTTGTGGCTTCCTGTCAGGCTGTTGTTGTGATCTTTGGTTCTTTGGAAATGGGTGTGATAATCTGTTATTTTAAGGCAAATTTTCCCTCATAGATTGAATTGAAATGTGGCCCCAATTAGTTTTGTTTGTCCGTTTGAACAGGTTTATGCCGCCTGATGATCCGTTGGGAAGACATGGGCCGAGCTTAGAAAATTTCCTCCGCAAGAAGCCTGTCGTTCCAGAGCACAAAAAGCAACCCTGCCCCTATGGTGAGTTTCTGTTTAAAGACGGCACCTCCTCATAATGACGTTAAATGTCGGTGATGTGAACTGTTCTTCTGTCAAACCAGGTAAAAAGTGCACATATGGACACAAGTGCAAGTACTATCATCCGGAGCGCGTGAACCAGCCGCAGCGGTCCGTGGCCGACGAGCTGCGAGCCTTTGCCAAGCTGTCAGCTGTAAAAACCATGAGTGAGGGGGCTTTAGCTAAATGTGGGACGGGTCCGGCAGCTGTTAAAGGGGACGTCAGCTCGGAAGCCAAACGAGTGGCGCCCAAACGCCAGTCTGATCCCAGCATTCGCTCCGTGGCCTGTGAACCTCCAGAGGCGCTCTCTGTTGCTCGGAAGTCCGAGACGAATTCAGTGCCTTCCCTTGTGTCTGCTCTCAGCGTTCCCACCATGCAGCCTGCCAAGAGCCACGCAGCTGGGGCTTTAAACACACGCTCAGCCAGCAGCCCCGTTCCAGGCTCTCTGCAGTTTGCGCACAACTCTCTAGAGCACATGTCTAGTATACAGTACCCCCCCATTTTAGTGACCAACAGTCACGGCGCCTCTGTGACGTACAGTGAACAGTTCCCAAAGTATGACTCCGTCAGCGATCACGGATACTACTCGCTCCACAGCGATTTTTCAAACATGAGCATGAGCAGCATGCACAACGTGGACAGTTTCTGTAGCATGGAGCACGAGCACGTGTATCAGAGAACTCCCAGCCACTGCCCTGAATCCTGCCTCAGTCATTCCAACAGTGACTCGTTCTCCTCCTACGGGGACCTGTACCCTAGCTCTGTGGACAGCAGCTTGGAGGAGAGCATCAAAGGGCAGCAGCAGGCGCCGGCGCAGGCGAGGATGCAGGCTTTCTCCCACGGGTTTCGCCACGAAGCCCTGAGCAGAGTTCAGAGTTACGGACAAGAGGAGCCGAAGCAAGCTCCCCGTAAGCAGGCCGGGGGACACCTAGCGCCTCATATCCAGCATGCGGCGGTGGGAGCCCGCTCCAGCTGTCCTGGAGACTACCCCCTCACTCAAAACATCCTCCCACCTTTGTCCTCACAGCCAACGCGATCTCTAGGTATGACCCGTATGGACAGCATATCGGACTCCAGGTTGTACGACAGCAACCCGAATAGACAGAGGCGACCGCCGCTCTGCCGCGAGCAGCACGCCAGCTGGGACCCGTTGCCGTGTGGCAACGAGTCCTACGGATATCATTCATATCCGCTTAGCAACAGCCTGATGCCTTGCTGCGAGCGGGTGATGGTCCGCAGCATGCCAGACAAAATGGAACAAATCTGGAACTCGCCGTGGGAGAACCCATCTGCGGCCGAGCACCAAGAGCGGTACGTCATTCCAGATCACCAGTATCAGACATACAGGAACCTTTGTAACATCTTTCCTGCATACGTTGTCCACTCGGTCATGGAAAAGAACCCGCATTTAACAGACCCGCAACAGCTTGCAGCTGTCATCGTTACAAAACTGAGGTCGTGCCACTGAGCAGTTTATAAAGTAAACGGAAACGAGGCATTAGTTAGGTATGGCTGCATGTGCAGCTCTCAGGAGCTTCTTATTTTGTCCTGTGTATTGGTGGGATGTGTGTGGATCAGATTAAAGGTTTGCATTAAAAGAAAAAAGAAAATCTCACCGAAGGAGATGTTTTTATATGGAGTGTAGTGTAGCTTATGCGATTAAAAGTGGATTTCTTGTAAAGGAACTCATTCATAACACGTTCATACTGCCTGAGCAGGAGCAGCAAAGCTACATTTGGTCAATAAGACCCACAGTTTAGAAAATCTGAAACCTTTGAACACAAACTAAAAGACCTCCTTAATTATTATAAAACATTTCTCTATTATAAAAAGTTGGAACGTTCAGAAACGGATTAAAGCAGTGCATTAAGTCTTGACTTATATAAAATAACATGTGTAGATGTAGGCCTCAATCTTTGCCATATTGTTTCACTTTGCAGCCAATAACTTTAATATGTATTTGTAAGTCTTATATAATAAACCATTGAATACCATAGAAATTAACTTAAAGGAAAATTAGTATTTTAGTTGAAAACTTATTTTGGAAAACATATGGCATAGAAATGTTTTCAGCCCCTAAAAACATCCAATACAAACATTGGTCTTAAGAAGTATCCCAATTATAAACTCAGTCCTGCTGTCTGGAATACAGTGATTATATTTGGAGCTCTGAGGTTTGTTGAAATATTAGTATAGAAACAGCCTGTTTAAAAAATAAATAAATAAAAATCCCCCTAAACTGACCTAAAACTAGGACAGGAGTTGGTACATTTAAATCAAAGTATATTTCTGCATGAGAATGGACCAATCAGAGTCCAGACTAGAACCTCATAGTGAATGTTTGGCAGAACTTATAACCTTCTGTCCATCCAGTGTGATGGAGCTTTAGATATGTGCTGCTTAGAATCAGCAATAAAGGGTTCATTAAGTTCACTTATGGATTCGTGATTTTCATGCATTTTTTTTTATTATTTACAAGTTGGTGTTGGTCAATCACCTCCCAACAAAACACGACATTTCTTATTTGACAATAATAAATCAAATGGTGCAAGCACCGTTTGAAGGGCATGTCAATATCAGCAGGTTGAACTTTAGTAGCTTGTGGTGATGAGAGCCTTAATCCATCTTGGACAATTCCTCAGCTCAAAGGCAATTTAGAGAGACCGTTTGCCTCACAGTCATGCTTTTAGACTGTGGGAGGAAGCTGAAGTACACCTGAGGTGTCTCCATGTAGACGGCCTCCAGTTTGGGAATAGAACCTGAGACCTCCTGGCTGCGAGGCTGCAATGCAAACCAGTGTGCAGCCCTGTAGAACAAACAAAGTCAGTTTCATTTCCACACCTCTAAACATACAACACATAGATGAAGACATTTCCTTCTGTTTCTCCGTACCTGGCTACATTAAAGCAGCTGTGTTTGCAATTCGAACTGATGAAAATGTTTGTGATCTCCAAAGATGATCCGTTAGCTGCAGACTGCTCAGCTGGACCTAAAGCTAAAAAAAAAAAAGCTCAGCTGTTGCACATCTTGCTGCCTTACCAATAGCTTGAACTTTACTTGATCCGATTCCAGCTGCAAACAGGCTAAATTAGCATTAATCCGTTTATTATCACTGAATCCGTTTAGTCTCACAGAAAGGATTTGCTCGGCACAGAATCCTCCTGGATGCTTGTACAAGATGTAGCTTTCCTGAAGATGCCATCCAGGTTCTGTGAACACGTTATGAAAAACATCTCAAGTGTTTTGAGTGCAGTGAAACTATAAATAATCTCACTTTGCTATGCCTCTGCTGTACATAGTTCTTGTGATATTTTATATGAATATATATATATATATATATATATTTGTGCTTTTATTTTCAAATGAAGAGGGAGGTAGGTATATACCTCACAGCATGACATTATGGCCTTATATCTGAATGACCTCACGCTTTAGTCGTCTGATTGGTTTAAGTGGATGTTGTTTTCATTGAAGCCTCCTGCTTTTCAAATGTATAGCACTATCACAGTGTCTAAAGAGATATATTTTCTCAAAGAAGCTACTATTTTGGTAGGATTTGAGTGTGCACAAAGCAAGCCAAAAAGACATTTGACTTGTAGACACGTGCACAGTATTTATGTAGATATTATCTCACAAAAGCCATTATTTTAAAGTTGTTTGAGCTGCTAAGAAATGCCAAAAAAAGACAGAATTTCTATAGTGTTAGTTATCAGTATTTCTCCACTTTGCTTCTTAAGATTCATTGGATTATAGTTAAAAAATAGATCAGCATTTTGGATCCACAGATGCTCTCCATCCAGGATTTGAAAATTAATTTTTCTGTCTAAGATCTTGTGATGTTTTCAGTGTAAAAGTTATAAACAGGTTTATTAAGTTTTAGGCTACTTTTACACGGAAATGTTCTAAGTAGGCATGGACCGGTGGAAGAAATGAGGCGGCACTATGGTTTTACTCTAAATACAGAATATAAAGAAAAATGTGTTAAGATGATTTAATCAGGTAGCAGTTTTTGGTTTTTGTTTTTGCACCAAGACAGAAAGTACATCCAATCAACCTAATTCAGTTTTCTTTCAAGCCAAGGAAAAACTAGCAGTCCCCTTTCTGCCAGCTGGAAGGCAGTGCACAGCAGCATGTGACCCAGTACCCACTCAGATGGAATTTGATTAATATTTTCCAGGTATGGATATGTATAGGGAATAAAAAAATATCTTGTTTTCGCTTTTAAACACTTCCTTCCATTGCTCATGTCCCTCCTTTCTTTCATTGACCCTCTGTTTCCTTACAAATTTTCTTTTTTTTTTCTTACCTCTATTCCATTCTTATTTCATCCTTTGTGTTTTATTTTATTTTCTCCTTCTCTTCTTCCCTATCCTCTTTTGTACATGTTTTCTCTCATATCCTTCTGTATTTGTATCCTTCCTTTGCTTCAACCAATCATTACTTTCATTTTTTTTTCTCCCCTCCTCCCTGGAGTTCTCCCTTAAATCCTTCCCTTTTTTTCTACTTTGAATCATTTATCATTGTTTTTTAAAACATTTTATTGGTTTTGAAACCATAACTGTATAAACCATAGCTGTCTGCTGATATCAGAAACCGGCTCATGCCTATTTCTAAACCTGGTCAACAGCCTGGTTGCTGATCACATGGTCACAGTGTAGGAGCGCTGCTGTAACAGCACTGTTACATCAAAGCTGTCCAGGTTCACTTGTGAACACAGGAGTTATTCTAGGAAAAGTTACAGACTCTGTTCCACACTTTCCTGTCCTTAAAAACACTTCATTCTGATAGGCTTGGTTGTTTTTGTTTCTTTTTCCTCTGGAAATCACACTTTGTATCAACAAACACAGCCGAGAAGTGGTGGGTGTCCAGAGTGTTTCTGTAAAGGCTGGGGTCAGAAAGCATGCAGTGGAAAGTGAAATGTTTCACAGCGGAAAACTGTTATGCATCTACAGTTTTAGGCAGGCAAACACTCGCCCTGTAAAGATGAAAGCTCCTGAGGATTTAACAATGACTTGCAACATTTTTTTTTTTTGTTTGTTTTTTTTTTACAAGCACATCTAGCTTTAGTAGATCAAATTTAACTGGAATTAATTTGTTCAGACAGGATCAAAACTGGATAATTGTATGCAAAGTGGTGTGAGTTGGGAATCTATGCTTCATTAAGAAAAAAAGGATTATAAATCCAAATAGAAAAAAAACAATATAATGTGGTTTATTATGGTATGTGTAATGTGTTTCAGGCCTTAACCTAATCTTTGAAACAACCTGGCTTCTTTTGTGCAAATCAATATGCAGTCTTTGAGCCGTTGCTCCTGGTTGTGGTGACGAACATCCTCATTTGTTTGGACCCCTAGTGAAGATATTCAAACCGTTCAAAATTATTCCTATTTTTTTGCAGGAACAGAATCTCAGAGTGAACCCTTTGCTATGATGATCATTTCTTTCTCTTCAGTGTGCGTAGTGACCGCTTGGCTCCTCCTCCAGCCTTGGTCATCACACTTCCTGCTGATCTACATTTTACCTCTGAAAAAACATGATTCTTACCAGTTGAAATCATAGTAATATTCCAGTTTTGCAGTATCATGTCAATAAAATGAAGGAAATATGTTTTTAAGCCAGCTTTTTAGCAGTGTGCAGCAGTGCTCCTGCTTTATGCTCCATACTTTCACCCAGAGCCTGTTTCTCACCTCATTTAAAGACCTAAAACAATAGAAATTTAATAGTTTTTTTTTTTTTTTGGCTCGCTCTAAATACAAGCAGTTGGTATTTCCTGACTTCAGTCCATGTCTGTTTCATAAAGCATGTTTTTTTTGTTTTGTTTTTTTTCCCATGTTGGTGAATTAATTTCTGGAATATTTTATAATTTTTTTTTGGCTGTTTAGTGAGATTTTTCCTCCTGCTGTAAAAGATTGATTGATTTTAAGACGGAGGATACTATAACTGCATTAGAAACATGTTGAAACCTGCTGCAGCAAACCTCTGTCCACCGTCCCTGTTTAATGTTTGCATCCAATTTAATATTTATCTGAAATTTTTACCAGATGAAAGGAATCTGGTTGTAGTTATTGAGACATCTTGTAGATTAGGTTATAAAAGTATAAAACAAAGTTTTCTTATTAGCTAGAACGCAGATTCGATTTCTCATAGAGCTTCTAAAGAGAGGCTGAACTGCTAAATGGTTGTTATATATTGTATACAGTAACACGTTTCATATGCATACATGAAGCCAGAATTGAAGTAGTAGGGAAGGCTTTGGCTGTGCGTTGCAGCACATTGCTCTCAGGATGCTTTCAGATCTCCATTATTTATGCTCCTCTGTTAATGCTAGAAGCCTCTGGTTCTGATCTAGCAGCAGTTTTACTTTGTAAAATAGAAAAAAATCCTACATTAATGAGTAGAACCGTAACGTTAGCAATGTGCTGTCAAACTATAGCTGTGGCATTGCTAACCCTTTGTAATCTTTGTGTATATTCTCTTTATGCACCTTCAGATCTTGGAACGGTGGGCTATATGGTTGAACTTTTATGCTGTGCAACTTCAGCTCGACTATTTTGTCGTTTGCATGCTGCAATAACCCCAACATGTGATTTACAGTGGCATACGGAGCTTTATGCCGGTTCCCTTCTCTCACTGCTTGCCTCCCCTGTAGGGCCACCTTTAGGACGATGCAGCGAAGTTGCACCATGAAAGCCAAACCTCATAGCACGGCTCCACTTTGGCTGCTTTTAAAGGAGAATACCACTTATTTCCTTTTAATTGTAATTATCTCATATGATTGTAATTCTTTTTCATTTGAGACTAATTGAAAAAGATGGATACCTATAGCCCCCATTTAGAGAAGAAAGCAGCACCAGACTTTTAAGTGGTATTACTCCTTAACAGAGCTAGCTGTGCGAGCCCCATGGCGGTGCTGTTAAATATGTATTTCTTTTTAATGTTTTGGGTAAAACCGTGGTAAATGAGCAGACATAAAGAAAAAAAACAGTTGAATGTGTTCTGCCCAAACCAAGGTTTTTTTGTTTTTTTTTGTTTGTTTTTTTGGGCTTTGCCAACTTTGTTTTTTCATGAAAACAGACGAGGTCACTCGAGGCCGTCCGTCTGTTCATGAGAAGGTGAAACAAACCGCCTAAATGTTTCTTCATGTGAAACAATCAGATTGCAAGGCTGCTGTCAAGGTTGTTTCTGGCATTTGGCTACAAGTTTGCGTGC